GTATATAAAAGTTTTGTGTTTTCCTCTTTGTAATAAACATTTATTACAGTGTTAAAGACCCTACAGAGAACCAGATTAGTTTAAATACTGTATTGCAGAGAGCGAGAGGAGAAAGGGGGAGACCGTGCAACAGACCATTTTATGTGAATCCAAGAAATGTGTTTTACAGCAGATTCATGAAAAGTCTACTTGAAGAATCTCCAGGATTATCAGAGTCTGGTACACATGCGTTATATAGAAGTAATACACTATACATAATGCAGAAAGTAATCAATGCAGACACAGCTATTATTAATGAATGTAAAATTATATAAGACAACAACTTGTACTTGTCAACCTTTTCATCTGGTGTAATAGGCATGCAAGCTCATGTGAGCAACAAAAACACTCAGCAAAGGCTACAGCTAGGTTTATTTATACAGTACTTCATGATGATGTATAATTGAAAGTTTAAAACACACAATCAAAAAGAAGGAATATAAAACAAAGAAATGTAAATAAATAAGGCTGGATTACCTTGGACAGAGGAGGGAAGATGAATGATTAAATATTTAAATGTGCTTGTTTGATCCATAGAAATAAGAAAAAGACATTTTGAAGATATGCATGATCTACATGACGGGTTGAAATTAAGCTTAGTCACGACCAATTTGCTGAACCGAAATTGGTTAAATCCTCAGAACCATTAGTACTACTTGAGCTTTAGGCTTCCATTCACTGTTTTTTTTATCTCTGGGCTCTTTGGTCTAATCAACGATCGGCCTCTTGTGCCAGCTTGAAAATACTGTTTTTAGTTTTTACAGCAGTGGCCTTTGGCATGCCATCAGAAAATAGCTTTATTAGACAGTCTGAAAGAAATAGAACGATAGAGAGATAATTTGTCATTGTAATCATTTAATGAAGAGAGTAAATTATCCAAGTAGTGCAAAATACATGATTGCAATAATGCACAAATCTGCTCGATTATAATTCTACTGTAGTTTTCTTAGCATGCAAGATACTGGTGGAAAATTGCTTTTACGTAACAGTCTTTGCCAGCTATTAGATAAAACCTTCTTTGTGTAATCAAGAGCACTTCCTTGTTCCAAACTTCTGAAACGACTTGCACATGTTCTCAGAGATTGCTTGAAACCGTCAATGGATCCCTTATAATATAAATCCAGAAAATCATGTGGATATTTGGGGGGAAGTAAAATTTCCTTGTACGAAGCCTACTCCAGTGCATTTCCCCTTTAACACTAATCCATTCAGGAAATGGGGGTTTCATTGGAATGAATAAATGAAGACATCATTTCACATGAGGGGCTTAAAGAGCTGAGTGGAAATACTTTATCAGCGGTTGATATGTCATTCAATTGGCCTCTGTGAATGAGCTGAAATGAGGTGTCATTGAGCCTCATGTTGATAGCAGGGAGGAAACGAGAGATCTGTGCAGAGTATAGGAGCTTAGCCAGCAAAGTGAGGGAACGCTTTCACCTTCATCAATTTTGACAGTTTGGTTGTATCTCTTATATTAATACAACAATGTTAGATGTTGCTTTTATCAGAATTCATTGTGTCCAGCATTAACAAAAAATGTACCATTGATATTAATTGGTTTTTGACATCGGACATTATAGTGCAAAAAATCTCAAGCCACCCACTTGTATTGCCAGGATAATGGGAAATAGGAAATAACATACATTGAAATACTGTATATGAGGTAAAAAAAAGTTTGCACAATTCTAACAAACATCAAACTCAAAATGTGATATGACCACCTTTATTCTTTAACACAGCCTGAACAGTCTTTTTATTTCTTTAAGGAATAGATCTCCAGGATTCTTGAATTTCTTGAATTTTCAGTTCAGTTGCCGTGTAATTAACTGGGACCATTTCTGAACACGCTTCAGTGAACAGTAGGTCTCAGGTCCTGTGTCAGGTCTTTGCTAGATTTCTTCCTATTTCTTAAGGACATGACTTTCTAACACACTTTTTTTATTTAGGCCTGCCACGTTTTTTGTCTGTTACTTGTTCCATTTTCTTAACTTGTTTAAAGGATACACTGCACAATGTGCTGATAGCACTTTGGAAATAACCTTGTTTGTGCAAAAAATATAATTTTATGCCGGCCTCTGACATATTTTGTGGATTTAACTAAAATCCACAAAATGTGTCTCTCTGAAACAAATAATGTTCTTCCCATAATTATGAGTTCCTCTGAAAATGGTCAGGTAAAAGGATTGGATTGAAAGTTAGAGAAAAAGCATTCAATGTTCAAAGACCTTCAGAAAACCTGGAGAACTGCTAGTTAACTTCACTTTAAAACTTTACAAGAAAGTCTGGATCTTTAGAAGCCAAATATGAAGAAATGAGGCTTTGCACAGCTGTGCACCGTACTGTACTCAAACACATTGTTTTAAGCTGTTTTAATTTTTTTAATACTAATAAAGCTTTGGCGACAACTTTACACATACAGTTCAGCAAGTGTGCCAGGAGGTTGATGGCCACATTGCGGTTGCAAAGTAGATGAGTTAGGCAGCGCTCATTAAAACTGGTTAGAATTTTGGGAATTGTGAAAGAAAAAAAAAACCTTGAATTTTATTTTGTTGCACCATTGAGGTAACACCATATGCATAAACTCAAATATTCCCCCTATAGGCCTAATTAACCTTATCTCAACCTTATCTAACTGAAGTATGCCAGTCAGGGAAGCCTCCAAACAACATCCCAGACTAAAAGACATGCAAACAAACCAATTATTATTGTTTTTATTTTGACATTTTACCCAGGAGGAAAAAGTTACAGTTGGCCTTTTATGTTCTTTGTTTCCTTCCTTTGATTCCAGGATCGTTGGCACTTTGAGGGAAACCCACAGTGAGGGATAATACCCATGTGTTTGTACAAAGGCTGTTGGAGTTTCTCAGGGTGTAACTGTGTCTGTGATGTGTTTCACTGGTTGCTGCATTGCAGAGAAAGGCAACATTGATCTGATCAGAGAGCCACAGTGAGTCAGAGAGCCTGAGGAACAGAGCAACTGACAGATACACAGGAAAACCCCATTAAATGCCTGCAGTTGTGAAAAAAATAAACATGTTTCTTCATGGTACCGTAGTTTAATTCTTTAAGACTATTTGCTCTTATATATTCATAGGAATTGAATGCAGTATTTTATTTATTTATTAAACGGATGAGAAGTCCCACGATTATGGCACAAAGACAAAATGTTCAGTGTTGGACTAAAAAAGACACACTTTTAAACATAACAAAGCTACTACTATCTGTGACAACTGTTAATAAAGCTAACCAAATGGGCTTTTCTGGTTGGGAGGCATTAAATGGAAAGATGCACTTACGAGATAAACGTGGTTTTTGAACATTAAAACAATAAACAATATTCTCATAGAAATGTTCAGTATATAAATACTCCATAAATTAATAAAATATAGGCACTTTCAACTTGAAAAATGTAAAACTATCACAGAATTTGAAAATGAATCAATGAAGAAATGCACATCAGAGATCATTTTAGCAGTCAAGTTGTCACCTTGCTTTTTAGCTCTATGGTACAAGGAAGCAGCATGTGGGTTCAGGATTAGAAGCAGCTCTTTAACCTGAATACTAAGTGGGGAATTTTCTATCTGGATTAGTAGTAATTATATGCTTGACACAAACATATTATGATTATGTCAAGCAACGCATTATTAGTTCAATAACAGGCAAACAAACACTGAATGTGTGTGTGTGTTAGAGCACAAACACATAAAGACGCACACATTGTTGGGGGGAAAAAACAGATAAACCATTTCTTTTATGAGGTTAAGACTGAACATTTAGGTTAATTTAAGGACAAGACATCAGGTAACAAATGCAGTGTGCAGTGTCCTTACAAGAGATGGAAAAAATTTGTGTATGTAAGCTCAGGGTCAGTCACCTAAATCCCTGCAGGTTTGTGCCTGCATTTGTGTGTGGTTATGTACAAGGTTTATCTGCCTTGAGCCAGTACATATGTTCCCACAAGGTTAGTCAGGATAGAAAAATACTTAAGCACAGCGCAAGGATGTGCGCATCTGTGTGAAGTGCAAGTGTGTGTTCTCCCCGTGGCCCATCCATGACCCTGTAGCCTGTCTGTCCTCTGTGTATTTTAATCTATCATCACTCCTTTCACTGTCATCCCATATGCCCGGCCTCATTCTTCACTGCCGTCTGTCTCTCTGAATACATCTCTTGGAATCGGCCAGGCCTCTTCCCCTCCCGCTGTTCACAAGTGCTCCCACATGCTTTTCTCTCATCTTCTTTACCCATTTTCCAACTGCCCTGACATTGTTGCTTGTTCTCTCTCTCTCCACTGAATAGATTTTTTTTTATTATTTCTTTTGCTGTTTAGCTGTATCTATATCAGTGTTTTTCCTCTGCTTCCTCTTTCTCTCTGTGTCCTTTCACTCATTCGCTGTTTTTGGCTCCGTTTCATTCTCCATTTCTCTCCCCCTCTCTCTGTCTGACTCTTGGACGCCTCCAGCAGCAGACGACAGGCGGCCTCGTAGCGTGGAATGGAGGGACTTTAACATCTGAAGGTCTCTCAGCCTCTCAAAGAGATTGCGCCACTACAACACACAGAGTAATGACTGCCACTTTAAATTTTAGCACTCCCTGGTATTTGTTTTCTCCTGTAGCAAGCAGTTTCTTCCTTTCTCTTACCTGTGTCATTATTCCTAACTTGTCTTTCCCTACTGCAGCCTCACGTCTTTGCAGCATGCTGCAATCTGACCCTTTAGCAACTGCAGCTAAATAACAGCGACCACAATTGTGTTTCATTATCTAGTGATTTTGAGTACTGACATTTGAGAGATGTATCCTTGAAATTCCTGCCTCTGCTGTATTATAATGACTGAAAATAGCATCTTAAAATCATAAAAATACCTATAGTTACCTATAGTTAGTCCCTTAGATGACTGATTAGTGCGAATAAATGTGCCCCTGACGATTAGGGCACATTTAATTTAAATAGTGTTTTACTTAATTATCATTTTTAAAGTAAGCACGTTTTGTTTACTGTTTATCATTTTTGAAATTCTGCTGCTTTTCAAAGACCTGTGTGGAAGTAAACTGAAAATGCTCTACATTTCTGGCTACTGGGCAAACTTGCCAGTTACTTGAAAAATCTGGTTGAGTAAAGTTATACCACATTTTTGGTTGTTTCATTTTTTTATTCTATTTCAACAATTCTGAGAAATTATTAGTTATAATCGGTTAATTGTTGACAGCTATGGGAATGTGCACAAATCTTGAGTCATCCCTTATTATTTAATGAACTTTACTTCCCTTAGTTTATGAAAAGTAAGGAAATTATTTGTTGTAACAACCGTTCTTGGCATTAATCTTAATCACTTGAAAGCCTGTGTATTTCCCCTAAATGATGGGACATTTGTAAGGAAAATGCATTTGCGGGTTGATCAGGAGAGTTGAGTTTGTGTGTTGCACCCATGAAAACTTGCCAGATCTTCTCTGACAATGCCAAACAGTGTATTCTGCTACTGACTCTTGTCTTGAGCTTCTGGTGCCCCAGATGGCTTATTGGTGTCTGATTACCAGCACTTGTGAGCATGGACCCTGCTAGAACAGTATGGAATCTGCTCCAAGCATACTATATTTGACTAATCTGGATAGGGCCCATGCTATAGGTCAACTTTAAAACTTCAAGCTAATGTTCCACAAAACCAAGTTGCAGCTTTATTTGGAGTGAGCCCTAGTTAAATCCCCCAATTGAAGGGCAAGTTCCATAGAACTGGTGATTTCAGAGACAGGATGCAAAGTGGCTGTCCCAAAAAGAGAACGGCAAAAGAAGACAATTTCTCATCCTGTCAGCAGTTAAGAACTGTAGGCAGTCTTCTACAGAATCAAGATTTGCAGAACGATATGGCTGATGGTCTCTACCCAGACAGCAGTACAACAGTAGCTGTTTGGCGTAAACAGGGAAAATTTGGAAAGATTTTTGTGTTTTTCCTGGTTTTGGTGTATAATTTGGCATACTTAAGCCTTTTCTCCTTGCTTCTCTTCCGTAAGTATGGCTTCGTGACAATCACCCGTCCACTAAGACCATTTCTAAGAGGCTTCATAGTAGATGGATCAGCTACATAGCAAGATGCATTTTATCAAGGCGTGTGTTGGATCATTGTTGGATTTTCTTTTTCTTAAAGATATGACTTCTAGATGCTGTTAATCTGTACATAATCATCTTGTTAGCACAAAAATACTATTTTATGCATGTCAACATGTGCAATCTTTGGCATTTTTTATAGGTTCCACCAATTCCACCAGTTTTCACTTTGCTAAGTTTTCTGTTATGTGTAGACACAACACCGGTTCATCCCTTTAGTTAGATGCCTTTTTATGCTTGAATGTTTTATAGGTCAGTGTTAAGTCCTCTGAAAATGGTAAAATATAGGCACTGGACTGAAAATGAGAGGGAAAAAGGGCAATGTTCAAAGAAAAAGTTTGAATCACCTCCAGAAAGCCTGGAGAATTATTGCTCAAGACCACATTAAAAAATTACAAGAAAGTCTGGCTACTTGGAAGCAAAATATAAAGAAATAATGGGTGGCTTAAGACTTTTGCATTGTACTGTATAACTATAGAGTGATTCTCAGGATAAATAAGTAGTTGTCTTTCTCACTTTATGCTCCCTTCTTCCTTTCTTCCCGACATTCCTTTCATCTTGTTTCTCCTGGCTGCTGTTTTGCTGAAACTGCTTCTATCCATTATTACGTCTCCTTTCTTTTCTGTTTTAAATTTATAACACCTTTGTCTGTCTGGTTGTGTTTCACCCCTCATACTGTTTTATGATCATCATATACTACCTTTTCCTCTCAAAGAGTGATGGAGGAGAAGAGGTGAGTGGAGTGCAGAATGATGGAGGAGAAAACTGTGGAGATATGCGGTGGTTGTGATGGATGAATACAGTCCGAGGCATTAAAAAGACTGTTCTTCATTATTAAACCGACACAATAAGCACTGGCTGTACATAAATGCTGTTATGAAATATTCTTGCTGACAGATACAGTTAAGAAATGCTCTCCCGACAAACAGACACATTACAAATAACACCTGCAGCAACATACTGCCACAACAAGTACAACCTCATCACTCTCCCAGCTATTGCTCATCTTTGCTTTTTCTTGTCAGCAAACCCTCCTTACGTGGGCATTTATTATATCTCTCGACAAACAGCAGTTGCACCTTAAGATACAAAAGAACACAAGCTACACGCTTTTAATACTAATGTGTACATATTTGTTCTTAAGGGCCATTTTGATATGAAGACATTGCATCCTTTAACCTTTAGAAACACTAAACTGATCCAAACATGATTTGGAGCCTTGTCCTTTTCAAATGTCTGGCTCTAAGCCAGGTGTGATTTTAAAACAAAGACAGCAACAACATAACATTTGAACCTTCACTACCTATAAAAGTAGTTTATGTGTGTTTTACCCTAGGAGGTACTGTCAGAAATTTTTATCAGTAGTTTTTTTTTCTTAAACTTTTAAGTTAAGGCAGCTAAAAAAAAAAGATCTGCTGGTTCTAGATACCAATTTTTATACCTGCTCTTGTTCTGATAGTAATTTGCTTTTTCCAAATCTTAACACTGTATACCCACGGTTCTATTTTCAAACCTTGTTTTCAATCTTCTTTTCTCTTAGAGCCCTGATGTTGTTGTGTGAAGACTGGATGCTGCCCACTGGGAAAAGCTGGTGAAACCACCTGAAGAATAAAGGCCCTATAGCTTATGTTCCTGTATCTCCTGTTCACTGTACCCATTAATTTGTCGCCATGAATATCACAGGGTATAGACCTGTAGTCTTCAGTTTACATTCGAGTGCTTCTCCTGGTTCTCATTTCTGGATTGGACAACTGTGTCAAGGCCTGGTGTCTGCTTGGCTGCTGATTGGCCAGCTGGTGCAAGATCTGGCTGGCAGTGTGACATACCAATCAGTTTTCATGGAGGAGATTTGTTTTTACTTTATAGCCTCTGCACCAGTGTTGAAGCGGAGACGTATAAAGGGGCATATGGATATGTTTCAACATAAGAATGGACAAAGACTTCGACATGCATGGACAGAAAAGGCCGAACAGTGAGCAAGCAAGATGAATGCATAGACAATCACATTCAGCCTAGGAATACAATGCAATAGACTGCATAAACAGGTAAAAAAGAGTTTAAAAAAGCTTCTGGAGGGGTCTGTTTTGGGCATGAACATATACAGCTTTCTTGGCTCAAGGCGCTCGCCAGTGTTTATCCCTGTGGAATAAAATAATTCAATTAAATTGAACCAAGCAAAACTGTTCCTGGGCTGAACTGGAGATGGACATTAACTCACCAGACCCTGATTTTTTTTTTAATAAAAATGTTACCCTTGGAAAAAACAGTACATAGTAAAACTTGAACTGAATTGAAAAACCTGGACCCAACAGGACCTTAACTAGAACTGTACAGTGATCAGAGTTCTGATACTGATTAAACTGTACCAGATTACCAAGGACTGGTTTGGGTCTAGTGTGTGTATTCTGCAGCTCTGGCCTCTATGTCTTCTGCTTTCCACTGGACAGGTGAGGACCTGATGAACCCTTACCAACCTCCCTTACATCTTTCCTCGCCCCCTTAAACAGGTGAGTAATCTGCTAATTAGCTTATTAACCTAGCCAAAGTGGGAGCCAAATGAGAAGTTCTTGAGCCCAAAGATCCAGGCTCATTAATTAGCGTGACATATGGTAGGCCACCAGTAGTCACCTTGGCCATCCACAGTCCTGCCCCTGAGTTTAAGACACACTTAGATTCTACAGTGTCTCCTCCTGTAGTGAGTAGTCTGTAATCTAATGAGGGCAATGCTTTAATGAGTGCCTATCTAATTGCTGTCACCTAGACAATTAGAGAGCTATCCTAGCTAAACGATCTGCTTTCCTAATACTCTCCTATGGCAATATCACAACAGGCGACAGGAAATGCTTCCCCATCCTGTTTGTCTCTTGGTCTTTTACTGTCTGAGTCACTCCTTATCTCATACATATCACTCCCTCTGTCCATCAGATCACTTTTTCCCTTCCCGCCTGAGCCTGTGATTGAATACTGGTGGAGAATATAATATGCTGCAGGAGGATATGGTTATGAGTGAACAGCACAGCCCCGGGGATGGTCTTTGCCTGTATGGGAGGATAGGGGGGTCAATAATATCTGCTTAGTCAGCACAGAAGCTGATGTCTGAAGCTTCAGAACTTATCCAGCGCTCAGCCTAAAAAGAGATCTTCACTTATAGATTGAATGTATCCTCTTATTAGAGGTAATCACAACAATATTTGTTTGTTGTTGTCGTTTTAGAAATCTTGTTCCAGACTTCATAAAGCGATGTTGATCTTTATTTGACAGAAATCTACAAAAGATAAAAAGGCACAAAGAAAGTGCCCCTTTTATCTTAAATGGCTTTAAATGAAAAACAGCAGAGATTAGAATGGTCATGCAGCTTTAGCTCATTGAAAGTATATCTTTCTCCACATAATTTGGCTTTCCCCCTGCCATGCAGTGTCAATGGCACCCACACTGTTTCAAATGAATTTTAATCAAATAGTAGATGTACTGTTCTCTGTTTGCCACAGATGGAAACACTGCTTTAATAACTTGCTTATAAGAGATTCATAATTCTACAAAGAGCATTTTATCAACTAGACTTAATTTAACTGATCCAATTATTGTGTTTACACAAAAAAATAGGCAATTTAAGGCCGTGGTGTAATTGCCATGAAATACAAACAGAATTATTTCCTCTCATAATTTGAGAGCATTTACCTTTGCGTTTAACAAACAATAATTTTCTTTAACAGCAGTTCTGTGCAGAGCACAATCTGATTAGTTGCTTTTGCAGTGGTGTTTATGTAGGGAAATTAGCTCACTGTGAGGGATAGCTCTTGATATCATAAATATCATAAAAAATGGAGAGAAATTGGCTTGATTGTGGGGAAACAGTGCAATAAATACACATAAAATGTTAAATGACCATCCATAGACTTGCCAGCTTAATCAAAATAAGACTTTTTTCCTATTATAAGTAACTATAAGTAGCTTTTTCTCTTAAAATGAGGTAACAAGGGATCTGATATGAGTTGGGGAATAAGATGCGAACAATAGAAACAATAGGAAAGTTAAGAATAAATTAAGAATATGAGAAAGTGTTGACGTTTTTTCTATGGTTTTCTAAGAACGGGGGGGGGGGGGGGGGGTCCTACAGTAATTACTTAGTCCAGTTTAAGTTTATTTACATCAGAAACTAAATGTAGTTGCAGTTTAAACACAGGATTCAGTAAGTAAAATAAAAACAAGAGAAATTTTTAAAATGTTACAGACATGTAATTACTCCTGTATATAACGTTAAAGGAAATGTAACAGGAAATGTGTGATTTCTGCTGTGTTTTGACTGGGCAGCACAACAAAGATGTTATTTTCTTCTGGTAAGTGATGGTTATGAGATGTTGCAGGGACAACCAGTAATGATGGTGTCTCCAGCTTAAATTTGCATTTCAATTACAAAGTGACACAGACACCTTCATTGTTCATTCAGTAATGGCACCAGCAATGAATCAATCAGTCAGTGTTCTTGGTCTGGCACACAAACACAAGAACCAAAGTGGCTGTTAAGAGTACTTCAATCACAGTTAACAGTTTTTATATACCTATGACCGTAGTAATTGTCTGTGTGCATCTATGTGAACTCACTTTCTATGTGAAAGTGTGATTGCAGAAGTGGTTTAGATATCACAAATTGTTTACACCCGTAAGCATCTCCTCTGACTATTGATGCTGATGATTGTCCGCAGAGAGAGAGAGAGAAACAAGACAAAACTGATAAGCGAACATTTCTCTTGTTTTATCTTCCAACTAGCCTTTAGCGCCTTTGGCTGAAGCTCTTTTTATTTTGTACATTCACATTAAATCTTTGCCAACTTGTTAGTGTGTGATGAACTACAGAAATTGATTCATTCCATTGTAATTGTTGCAATGACATAAAGGGTATTGATGTCATTCCGGCTTTTGTGAAAAGCCAAATGTTGCACACTAGCAACACTGACACTAGCAAACTCAGCTCTGATCATAATAATTAACAATTAGCACGCTGTTATTAAACACAAAGTGATTGATTTTTGTAATGACCTCTTCAGACTGCACAGCATTATCTCAAAAGTGCATTGGTTGGTCTTTTGCATTGTTACATAATGCAACATGATTGATAACAAATTTATGTAATTCGTTAACTGACGTGTCAAACTGATTTATGACATTGTTTTTTCTCATGTGACAGGGGTTCACATAATCCTTAACATTTAATGTTAATGACCTCAGTTTGGTTTATCATCCTACATGAATATAGTGCTTATCCCTTCCACGACAAGATCGTTCAGCTGGGGGAAGAAACAAAGAAAAAAACATTATCTTCACTAATAAAAACGATGGCCATTTTTTTTACCTTCCATTCTGTAAGTTGTTAAAGTGAATGACGGTTTCTGCAAATGAAAGACATTCTTTTATGTTTAAAGTTAAGCTCAGGTCATTATAGCATGCTAAGATCCTATTTTTGTGCATTAATTATAATCTCTATGCGAAAAAAAGGCATATTGATCAGTTTAAGCATGTCAAAAATGGTAGAAAATCATCATCATCAAAATTATTATATTTGATTTATTTGTACAAGTGAATGAGGTCTCTGTCAGTTACACTTACATATCTAAAAACAGCTGTTCAAGATATTAGAAAAGGAAAATACACAAAATTAATACACAAAATGTCTACGCTGTGAGCATGGAGTGTGTGTCTGTGTGTGTGTGTGTACTACTGTGGTGTCTGATCCATAATGATATAAGTAGAGAATCCTACAAGAGCATGTCCTAACAGTGAGAGAAGCTCACATGTACCAGAGGGAGAATAATGTGAAAATGTAGGAAAGAAATGCTAACACCAGCAGGAAATGCGGGCTCCGTGAGATAATTCAAAATATCCATGCATGCTTTTCCACTATAGGCTAATGTGGTGTTCTGGTATACACAAGTGCTTCAGGCACGATTTTATCTTGCCAGTAAGGCTTGTTGAACTGGACTGTTAGGTAGAAGAGTGAAATGAGAAGGAGAATCTGAGGATGATAAGAAGCTACGTAAATGAAGATTTTGTAGAGCAGAAAGGAGAAAAACAGTTTGAAAAAGAAGAGGAGAGAAGAGAGGACGTGACGGCGATGGGCAGGAGTGAAATAGGAGGAGAACGAAAGGAGAAAGAATACACAGAAGACAGGAGAACAGCAAGTGGGATGTGTGGAGGATTATGCAGTGTCTATTGAGATACAGCTGTATTGTGCTATAAGGGTGTCTTTGGTTACTCAGACAGAAAAAAAAATGATAGTATGAATCACAGATGACAATGCATACACACAATGCATGTTTATTTTTAAGCGTGTTTCTTGTATGATGCCTCTTCTAGATGGCAAATGAAAGATCTTGTTGCAAGGCAGATGATGTGCACAGATGAACAAGTGTGTGAACACGTGGACACACATTCAGCAAGACGAGATATTCCTATGGAAACGTCATGTCACGTGCAGTGGATATGTGCATCTATTTTAACGAGTACATTCTGAGCATGTTTCATTCTTTGTGTGATGTTATAACATGCATTTTCACTAACGTACGAGGCATATTATAGGTGTTTTCCCCCCCAAGAAAACACTCATCTTTATTTTTCCTAGTTTTAATTGGGACAGTGTTTTTTCTGTCACAAGTGCACCATGAGGAGATATTTTTGTGTTGGGCAAAATATAGTTTGCAATGAATTCCCCCCTTTTTTTAAAAGATATTTTAGGTGAATGGTTCACATTGCTATCAAATATGTAAAATCAAGGCATGTGGAAGTGGAGAGATACATAAACAGTTGATAAGTACCAAGGGTTTTAACGTCATACTCCAAAAAATTAAATATATATCTTATAACTTTTCCCCCAATCACACATCTCCAGAGCTTGGTCAACAGCCCCTTGGCAACCTCCAGCAGCTAGAGGAAAATGCATATTCCCTGACCTCAGTCACCCAACTAATAGATAGCCAGCAACCTAGTTGGTGGCATCAAGAAGTTGTAGAAGGAGTAATTTGCAAATTATTGTTTTGGTCACTCCCAGATTGCTTTGGTCGCCTGTAGTGTCAATGGAACAAGCCTATTTGACTGCAAACAGTCCCTAGATAGATTTTTGGTGCATCTTCTCACACCTCTTTGCACCTAAAGTCAGCTTTCCAGCAATACACATTTTTCCCTATCAACCTTTGGTTGTCACCAAGGTTCATCACTTACAAGGACTTGGATGAAAGCTTGATAATTAAGTTCTGTGAGCCAAGAGTTTTACAATGGCACTTTTTTATTAAAAATATAAAACGCTGGATTCTTATGAGATTATTTATTGAATTTGAAGTGCTAAATAATGGGAAGGGCAGTACTGCTGCAGTCAGGTGACAATGAATTGGAGTAGCTCTAGAATATATTTGAAGGATCCTAAAAGTGAGAGTGGTGTTATCAGATGTCTTTCCACAAATCATAATATTTGATAAACTGTAATTTTAAACTGTAAAACTAATAATAATTTAAGTGTTTAATGTGGTTAGAAATTTTAAATCTTGAGCATTTTTAATGCCTAAATCCATATTGGTCATAATTCACGAGCTCTTTCTCAATAGAAGGATTAAAGCTCTGGAAAGAAGTATAGCTCTTTTCAGGAAGTTAAATAGAGAGTAAGCAGTTGGGCTTATCTGACAAAACTGTAACCAAAATGGAAAAAAAATAAACATTTTGAAAGAACATGCAACATCACAGGTCTGTGTCAATAAATTGGGATGAAAGATTGGCTTCAGCACTTTTCCTTTCAGAAGCTCATTGTGCCACAGTGTGTGGAGTGTAGAGGCAAGGACCCAGATGCACAATACAGAGGTTCAACAAAAATCAAGAATAAATGGCTAAAAAAAAAGTCTAATAAACAAACTCTAAAGGGTAACAAGCAGATATTAAAAAAAACTGCCATAGACAGACAAAGAGGGAGACAGGACTACTTATACACTGAGGGCTGATGAGGGAATGACAGGAGGGGAATTACACAGAGGTGAAAGTAATTAACAACACAGAGTTAAAAGAAACTACAGATGACTAATGTTCTACTTTAGCACATCAGTCATTTACAGTGCGTTATCCGAGGGAAAATCACCAGTCAGCTTTTGTGAACTTGGATGATTTGTCTTTTTACTAATATTCACCTAAGGTGGTTAGACAGACATGCTTAGAAAGATACAGATATCGAATTATATGTCCCAGTGAAGTACACCAGACCTCCACAGATTGCTAGCAGAGCTGGTGAATATGTTTAGATGAAGAAGTGAATGATGAAAAAAATATGTGTATTGCCCGATGAGACTTCAGAGGCTAAATAAGTTTGCTCTCTGCTTACTTACTCCCTGATGCCACCACCAACCAGTCAAGCTGCAGCTTACATCTGTCCAGACTGATATACATAAATTAAAGCAAAATGCAATAAGTTGACACCAAACATCTGAACAGCTTTGACTTATGGTCACAATCCACCCCCTCTGTTCCCAACAAATAATGGTAAACAAATGTGTTCTTGCAGAAAATTAGAGTGTTGACTTGGTCTTTGTCCTTTTCGAATAGAAAATGAAAAATCATTAAAATGTGTTTTCTCACTCTGACTTCCCAATTCTGATCTGTTCACCCGTGAGTCAAAGTGAAGGTAAATGTGCCAGATGTGATAACATTTCCTCTCTGTGTTCCTGAGAGATTTGCAAGAACGAGACAGATGTGTCACGTTGACCTTGATCTTTAACTGACAGCGCCTAATTATTTCTTTCTTGAGTCTAAGTCAACATTTGTACCAAATTCTGAAAAAATAGATAAGTTTAATAATTCAGGGCATTCACCAGACATTTCATTCATGAGAACATTTGAATATAGCTGACCACCTAAATACATATTCCCACTAGTGGCTGCTGTCAGGCCAGCGTCAGCATTGGTTGGTTCATCATTTCTCTTAGCTTGGCTAACTGCCCGTTTGGCCAGTTGCCCGTATCATCCTGACCTCTGGTTTTACATGCCATGCCCTGCAGTTTCCTAGACCATCTCTTTGTCAATTAAACCAAAAGAGTTGCAAGTTTTTAATAGTATAGAAAATGAAATTTTTACATTTATAAATATATTAAGGTGATGCCAAGAAGAGGTCCTTCATTGAATATAACAACTATTCAGTTTTTTTTTTTTTTACCAATAATTCCATGACACGTGCAGGACAATGTTCCTGTTCAGAAATGGCTTAAAATAGGAGCCCGCTCTAAGCATATGCCAGATGTGCTAGACAGAACAAGCCTAATCCATGGCCCCACCTTCAAACTCACAGAACCTGAAAGATCTACTGCCAGCACTCTATGAGACACCACGGGACATACCCAGAGGTCCTGTGTTCATTTTAATATCGCAGCTAACTGGTGCATGCGTCATTCAGTTCAAAACTTTTGCATTTTAGCCTGTTGTATTCCTGGGAGCAAGGTCTGTGAGTAGTAAACTATTCCTCAGATAACAAAATTAATCTTTCTGGGCCACGTTCAGTACTAAAATCATTTTTAGGACTGGGCTGCAGAATGTTAAAAGCCATTGTTTTTCTTGTTTTGTGTGGGTTTTTTTTCATGCAACATCTGAGCACCAGCAGGATTTGTTATGCAAAAGAGATTGCTCTAAATGCTCCAGTGTCGGTTTGTGAAGGTCAGTAGCATAATCAGCCATTTAAAAGCATTGCTGTCAATTTGTGTCGACAGCCTACCACCACAATCACATCAAACCAAGTGATTTTTGGAATATGAATTTCAGAGCTACAAATAAGCAAAGCAGTAATTTTACCTTCACCTGGTCCCCGCTTATAAATATTACTGTAGCGCTCAGCAATCGTGGCAGAGTTTCACCATTTATCGACAACACTATTTAAATCTGCTGGATGGATTTGTTGGCAGTGGGCATTTTTTTGTTTTGTTTTTATCTGCCGTATACAGCACAACGCTGCACTCAGGACAGCCGAATAATCGTTAATTGGCACTGAGAGCCTGTGATTCGCATGTGGGAGCAGTGATTATATTTATAGCCATGTTAAAAATCAAACATGATAGCAAGTGAAACTGGCTGACATTTAGCGATACACGGACTTGTAAAAGTCAACTGTGTTTCATCAGAGGAACGTGTATGCACATGAGAGAGAGAGAGAGCACGAGTGAGAGAGAGACAATCCCTATAATAGCAGTAGCTGGAAAAAGGAAAGCGATAATTGAATGCTGCAAATTTGCTGCTCAGCATTACTTGATTACTTGATATAGAACATATAATTATATATGTCCTGTGTATAAAAAGAATCTTCTCGCTCTCTCTCCCTCCCGCCCTCTAGTAACGCACAAAAGCTGTACCTGTATTTCATCAGCAGGCCACAGCTCTGTTTGATGTATGGTGCACCTTCAGGATGCATTTGGGGGGAGTGGGTCGGGGACAGAAACAAACTAATATGTTAGTGCTTTTCAGAAGGTTACAAAATGGCAACTCAAAACATAAAACACCTTGATCAATTTCCATGTAATTAGCTACAGCTTTGCATTTTTCTTCCCGATAAATGAAATTCTGCATGGCTGTAATCGCTCTAGTACATAGAGTAAGATAAAGTATAGCGAATGCAGATTAATTGCTTTTCTATGACTATACTCACAGAAATTAGAAATTCAATACATTTTAATACAGTGTGACATTAATTAACTTAGTCACCTATAGTTGATAATTCAACTTTCATTTCAAGCATTTAAACACAGTAGTCAGGATAATGCATGCAATGTGTTTGTCTGAATGCAGAGTGACAATAAAAAAAAAACAAGAGACCATCTGTGATGCTAACGAGCACCCATGTTTGAAAATCTAATGTTACATACTAGAAAAACTGTTATACACCTGATAAAGACGTTGATGGGGAGTTATCGGGGCAACCGGGCTTATGAATACCTGCAAAATGATTAAAACACATCTTTGCAGTTGTTCCTGCAGCAGGAGGTGTCACCGAGGCTACGCACACGCACATTTGCCAGGCTGTTGTGGCAGGAATTCGGTGGTATAATCAGCATTTGCACATCTATCAACTAGACAGACTTTAAGTTAGAACCCTTGCATTTATCTTTTAGAAGAAAATAATTTGCTCATGCAGGCAGAAGAGAAACTCCCATCGTTAGATTGATTTCTTGTGCTTGTCTTAGGAAGGATAGGTGTGGATGGTGTTGGAGGGTGAGTCTTTCAGGTGTTCACAAAGAGCACAATATGGCCCTATTGGTGTGCACAGTAACTTATTAGGTGTCTAACCTGTTGCTCGTTGCTTGTGGCATTGTCACCCATGTGTTACACACACCAACCACCGGTCCAGTCGGTCACCCCTTTTCCATATTTATTTATGTATTTATTTTTAAGCATCACCATTAAATCGTCTCTTTCCTACACTCCAATCAATGAGCACCAGGTTCCCCCACATGGAATACTTACAGTGTGACCACTACTGTAATCATTTTAGCATGCTAACATTACAGTACTAATGAGGCCAGTTTTACAAAGAGTATGATGCCTTTGTTCACATTTTCTCAATAAATCTATAGTCATTTAATACTGTATTGCGCACATATTCATTCTGTTTAAACAGGGGATTATGAGGCCCCATTATGTAATTTTGTAGCTGTTGTCAGATTAGGGGCTTTTGAAACGCACATTAATATTAAATAACTATTTTGCAGGTTTAACAGCTGTACGTGATAAGTTGACTGCACAAAGTTGAGGTTTATCATTGTTATCACGTCAAACACTTGATTTTCCGTGTGCTCTAGAGCACTGAAAGTGACAAAGCTGTCTAGCTTGTGATGATTGTATTAACACTAACCTAGTTGCTAGTTTGTCTCTTTTTATGGGAACAAGGCACAACCAACCCATGCGGGATGCAGATGTGTTCTCACTGGGGCTGCACAGGAAATACCTCTTTTAAGTGCTCTCTTCAATTTGAAGTGTAATCGTCTGTGGATTTGGCTTGATCTAATCCGCAGAGATGTAACTGACAGAAGAAATGAAAAATAAAAAGTGGTCAAATCCCTGTGGCCTTTTAGAAAAAAATCTTTTTACACACAAACAAAAACACATTTCAGATATTTTGCCCCTGACACAATAAGAACAGCTGTTATTCAGATAAAAGACACATTTCCTTTAGCTTTAGGCTAAAAGTATGGCTGCTGTGCATATCAGGTGGTAACAAAGCGTGTCTTGTGGTGAGGAAATAAGTAGGACAAGTCATTTTGAACCCTCGTATATTTGAAATTTTAAAACAATTCTGGGTCTATATTCCAAACTAATTTCTTTCTCTTTTTGTCTTTCAGACCCAGTGACCAGAAGGAAAGCTGCATGTCTGAAGTCCAGAAAGACAAATTAATGGTTAAGAGAAAACAAGCCAAGTAGCAGGGTTCCAAATCATGAGTCATTATTGATATCATCCAAGATTTTTATCCAAAACATCATCAACCTTAACCTTCATCACAGAATAAGTTTACAAGAAAAAGAGTTGTGCACTACAAATCAGAATAGTTTAATGTGAACAAAAATGCTGTATGACTGTATATTACTGCACAACTTACATTGCTAATAGCTCAGCTGTTGTCATCTAGGCCTTGCACATCTCCATTATCTCTTTCATTATTACCACAGTGGAGTGCATTTACGTGCACACGGCATGAGCGATAACAGGCCACATCTCACCTAATGTTCTATCTGTGAGGAGTTCCATCTTCATGTGTCTGGCAGATATCCCTTTATATTAATCATCAGAATATTCCAGGTGCTTGTTACTAGCATCTCCCTTACCATTTTCGTGCTTTGACTCTGGTTTGTGGAAAAGGGATATGTGATATATACGGCATCACGGATATGCATTATTCATATCTGTGCATGGAATTGCACTCCCAGCCATTCCATAATGATTATCGTCATGATTACAGCTCCCTGCAGATCGGTAGAAGACCAGGAACTAGATGGAGAACCTCAAAACTTTTGACCTATTCCAGAAGCAACACACCCCACGCCCCACCCAAAAAAATAAAAACACACTGTCTTCACTTTTCCCCTTCCTGTGTTCCTCTCACTTTTTTCTTTGGGCTTTATCTTTTGTATGTGTACATAAAGCAATTTCAAATCTTATAGTTTTGTACATGTAATTTTTATGGTGTGTGGATATTTTCTAATAAAATTAAACAAAAATGGATGACCTTCTCCAGACTGGCCACTCTGAGTATTTGATTTTTTTGTTGTAGCTGTAGTTGTTAACTAAAACTAAAATGAACCTTAAAAAACTAAAACTAACATTTTTAGGGCATGCTGCACACCTGCACATATGATGCCATATTGTGATTTAAATCTATTTAGTAATATCATTTACAAAATGAACATCTACTGATTGAAAATATGAGATAATTAGGAAATATTCTGTTAGATTAAAAGTAAAATAAAGGGGGGATTAGAGTTACATCCTTTACATACAGACCCCTCATTTTTGACAGTACAGCGTTATTTTATTCAGTCTTAGATGGAGCTTTCTGTTATTCTCCATTCACACGTAATCATAACAGGTGGAGGGAGCTATAGTACTTTGACATATATGCAAGAGACCTGCTGGGCAGTGTAAACAGTGTTTGTGCGAGTCTGTGTGTTTGTGTGTGTGCTGTTTAATGCAGCAGCAGCTGTCCTTCTCTTGTCACTCGCTCTCATTTCTGGGCTGAGAATATAATACTACTACCTGTTTATTCAACCAATCAATTTTTTATTCACTTATCCAATAATTCAGGGTCACCGAGGGGGGCTGGAGCTTAACCCAGCTTTTCACTGAGCAAAAAGCAATAGTACTACTATACTAATACACTAATTAAAGCAATTGCATGAAATTCAGGAGTGTGGTATGTTAGAGCTCACATTGAATGTCCGAGATCAACGATTGCTGTTGGGACCAGGGTTTTGTTTCAGACGTGGCGTAGACAGATTCACGATTCGATTCTCCTGTCAGCTGAGTTCAGAGGAGAAAGCAAAGGGAGAAAAAGAAAATTCAGATGCCTTCAGATCAACACTCATCAGTGTTTAAATCTTCACAAAGAAGCACTTCTGAGTAGAGGAATGCTTCATGTATTAAATTATAGTGTTTGTGATGTCCGAAATGAAAAATCAGCAAAGCTTTGGTAGGAAATTCTAATCAAATTTATCCATATTTTTTCACATTATTTCTTGCATATGCTGACAGATGGATTAATCCAACATGGGGACTAATACACTAACACACTGTATTATACTAGAGCATTACAACCTTCAAAAGGGAGGTGACCATTTGCAAAAAGTGAAGTGCTGTGCGTTTCTCCATCCCACTTATTGCTTCCTGTTACCATGCTATATATCTGTCTGCTTTTCTCCTCTGCCTCCTCACCCATTATCTCCTCCCTTCATCTATTCACCTCAGTCACCACTGCTTTTCTCCCTCATACTGCACTGTCCCAACTTTCAGGCCACACATCTCTCCATCTCTCCCCTGCTCTGTTTTCCCTCTCATATGTAATACCCAGTCTGATCTCTACAACTCCATTCTGCTCCCCTGATCTACTCCATTTCTCAGTTCTCTGCTCCGTAGTTCTTGGCAGGCAGCCATCGCCAGATCAGCTCTTCAACATCCTTGTCTCCCCCTTCTCCTTTACTCTCATCACCACCTGTTAACTCTATTTCCTGTCCATTCCGTATTTTTTTGTCTTTATTCATAAGGCATAAAGACTTACAATGGATGAAGTTTAATGAAGGTTAAAGAAAAATATATCCGTACTGCTAGATTTACAGAAGGGAACAAAG